GAGCAAATAAGAGAAGCTGGGATATATGAACAAAAATGTGACCTCAGGATTGGAGGAAGACTCATTAACAACCTGCGATACGCAGATGACACAACTTTGCTTACTGAATGCAAAGAGGACTTAAAATACTTACTGATGAAAATCAAAAACTGCAGCCTTTGGTATGCATTGCATCTCAATGTAAAGAAAACAAAAATCCTCACCACTGGACCAATAAACAACATTCTTATCAACGGAGAAAACAATGACATTGTCAGACTTCATTTTGTTCAGATCAACCATCAACACTCATGGAAGCAGCAGTCAAGAAATCAGGCGACAGATTGCATTAGGCACATCTACTGCACAAGACCTCTTTAAAGAGCAAAGATGTCAGCTTAAGGACTAAGGTGCACCTGACCCAAACCATGGTATTTTCAATAACCTCATCTGCATGTGAAAGTTGGACAGTGAATAAGGAAGACCATAGAATTGATGCATTTTAGGTATGGTTTTGGAGGAGGATATTAGAAGTACCATGGACTGCCAAAAGAACAAACATCTGTTTTGGAAGAAGTATACCCAGAATCCTCCTTGGAAGCCAGGATGACCAGACTTCATCTCTCATACTTCAGACATATTATCAGGAGGGACCAGACATATGAAGAAGGATATCATGTTTGGTAAAGTGGAGGGTTGGAGAAAAAGAGGAAGACCCCCCAACGAGATGGACTGGTAATGACAAAAGCAATAAACTCAAACGTATTAACGATTGTGTGGTTGGTACAGGACAGGGCGGTGTTTGGTTCTGTTGTGCATAGGGTCACTATGAATTGGTACCAACTCAATGGCACCTAACAACCACAACACGCTGTCATAATCACCTGCAAACTAGCACAACACATTCATAAGACCTCTCCTCACTGTGAGTTGTTCGTTGTCTACTAATGGTTATGTCACATGTTATTGAATTGTTTCACTTGTGTTCTTAACACGCTTCTCAATTTAGGAATGTATAAGAGTATATTGGGAGGAAAGGACCCTTTGTAAGTTTGGCACGTAGATGACATAGGACCTCTTCCCCAAAGCGCCCCTAAGACATCAAGTTGATTCCAATACCTTTATATAGTTTCTGAGGCTGTAACTCTTCATGGGAGTAAAAATCCTCATCTTTCTTCTGAGGAGCACCTGGTGAGTTTGAACTGCTGACCTTATGGATAGCAGTCCAGAGATTATCCTTACAGTACCACCAAGGATCCATTCCCAAAGCAAAAAAAAAAAAACCCACATTAATTTGTCCTTATTTGTATTGATATTTACAAGAAACTCTTTTATGTAAGCCAGATTTGATCATGGGAACTGCCTTGACTGAATGAAGACACCTAACTACAACGGGGCTGATTGGACCCTGTGGGAGGAGTCAAGTAGCAACTCTTTATCAACAAGGACGAGGTGGGTATGGTTACCATAATGGATTGTTGAAGTGCCCCCAAGTCGGTTCCAACCCATAGCGACCCTGTAGAGGGTTTCTGAGGAGCAGCTGGTGAGCTTGAATGGCTGACCTCGTGGTTCAAACCAATTTCGCAGGCGAACGCATTAACCCACAGCGCCCCACGAGGAGTAGTGGATAGCAGAGTCAAAGTAGTAATCAGAATAAGCTGACTTGTGTGGCTTTGTAACGTTGGCTACTTCAGCACAGCGTTCCTAGAAGTGGAATAGATGGGGAAACCTACTAAATATTTTCTTGGTATGTACAAACAGAAGAATTCCAGGTAAAATAAACAGCGGTCTAACTCGAATTGCCAAAATACAATTGTCTCTCAATCGAGTCCTTGATTTTAGCCACTTTACAGACCTCTTGAGTGAGGGGGAGGCCAGTCCCTTTGAGGAAGGAGCTCACTAAACGGGCAGAAATGTTTATTAATCTATCTCCTAACCTTCCCTGAAAGGAGCTCTGGTAGCATAGTGGTCACGAATTGGGCTGCGAACAACAAGGTCAGCAGTTCGAAACTACCAGTGGTCCTGTGGGAGAAAGATGAGGCTTTCTGCTCCTGCAAAGGTTTACAGCCTCGGAAACCCTGTACAGGGTCACTGTGGGCTAGAATCGACTCGACAGCACTTAACAAGAACAAGCTTCCCCAAAGAGATCTATGCCCTTTTAGAAGAGTGACTGTTCATTGGGGAAAAGGAAAGAATCTGACAATTTGGAGATTTCTGGACACTGGCTCTGAGTCGACACTAATTTCAGTAGATCCAAATGTCCACCAGTCAGAGTGGGACTGTATGGAGGTCTAATTATTAACAGAAATTTTTCTTTTAAAAACATATCTGCACTTAGGGATGTAGTAGCTCAAAATACCTGCTGAGAGGGAAGAAGTCTTCACATCAAGGATCAACCCTATCCCCTCTGTACACTGGGGTTAATAGGGACAGGCAACTTAAACACTGGCTACCTAAAATGGGGGTGCTCTAAAGGCATGAAGTGATTGACTTAAAGTTTCCAAGAGGGAGTTTAGTTTCAGAGTGTGCTGGGAAAGGTAGAATCCCCACTGAATAGTTTTCCTCTTGTCTAGACGGGTCTGGTGAAAGGAGATGGGGATAAGAGTCTTATGATTCAATAGTGAGTAATTGTTATCGTGACTAATTGTAGAAGTTTTGTAACACAAAGGGGGGAGTAGTTAATCCAATATTCCAGGAACAGAGGACCCTAAAACTATCAAGGGACAAGAGCATGAGCAAAATGTGGGACCCTGTCCAGAGAAGCAGTAACACCAGAGATGGAAGCAGAGATGGTGACATGGAGAAAGAGAGCATCTGAGGACTCCAGACTCTTGAAAAGAGAAAGGCTGTGTGCTGGTGACCAGGAGGCAGGCTTCCAGAATACGCCCTCTGGCTGTTTATATATTCCTTAGTGTTTTTGTGTACATCAAAAACAAAACAAAACAGAGGGAACAGAAGCAAATGCTTCAATGATGATACATGGAGGGGACTGTAATTGTAATGAAATGAAATATGATAGGATGAGTGCAAAACAGATCTTCTCCCATGTAAACTATCACTCAATTTACAATAAAAGCTTTTAAAAACACACACACATTTGCAATGAGTAAGTTTTGGGTTTGGCAAAATTCTATCATGAGATCTACAGCATCATTTATATCATCAAAGCCACATTTTCTAACTAGTGATCCTTCCTAGAGGTAGGTGGGCAAATGTGAATTATAGTGGTATTGATCTTCCTTGTATGCATATGGATATTGTCCTATCACAGACATCATTGTACTTCAAAATAGATCTTCAAATACTCTTTTTGATCAGTCTACCATGGGTGACCCTGCTGGCATTTGAAATCACGGTGGCATAGCTTCCAGTATCATAGCAACACATGAGTCACCACAGTGCCACAAACTGGCAGACCAGTGGTGGGTTAGCATCAGTAGCTGGTATCTTGTCCAATGCTGAGCTCTGCACAATAGGTTCAACAGCTGTTATCAGTGCAGCCTTAGCAAGTGGTCTTGCAAACTCGACACGAACCAGACAATTAGCAAAAGAAGGACTCTCTCTCCAAATCCATGAGCTGGTCAGAAGCTTCGTTCCTGGTAAGTCACACTGTGGGTCCAAGATGAGATTTCCTCCCCTGCAAACTCTGCTTCCCAAAGCACCAGTTTCATGGCTCCGTTTTTTTTAGGTGGTGAAAATTTGGGTTGAAAGTTTCTTTGCAGTTTTCTGATCAACAAACCAGGGATTACAACAGTTGTGTAGGATAAATAGGACAAGAAATAGAAAGAAATAATGCTACTTATAACACCACACATACAACATAACTGAAATTCTGTAAGCAAACGCTGCTTTGCATACTGAGAAGTTAAACAGCCAATAGAAGAGTGGTGGAATATGGAGATATTTTTCAGTTTTCTTTAAAATTTGCCATAAAAATAGTTTTCTACAATGAAAACATACTGCATTACAATGTAAAGAAGTATAAAAACTTTAAAATATAGTTGATAAGAAGAAAACACACATCAAAGATACCAAGGGGTTGATGAGCTTTTTTCAGAAGGACAATTTGTATATAAAAGAACTAAAATAGCATTTTGATACTTGTCCAAAGCCATGTGCTACCACCAAAAGGTGACTTGGCTTACTGTCAGTCTCTGCAAGTGAGTCTCACAGAAGTCCTAAGTGAGAAAAGATAGTTTAGGATTCCTTGATTTTTTATACTTATAGGATCAATCCACAGCGTATCTCACATTTTCTAAGAAGTGCAAAAGATTTATAGATGTTTCTAAATTTCTTTACATATATATGACTTTTCAGTACTCCTGGTGTGGCATTTAGGATCAGCACTGGACTGAGAACCACTAGGTCAACTGTTCAAACCCACCAGCCACTCCTCCAAAACTTTAAACAGGGTCACTATTAGAAGGAACCAACTTGACAGCGCTTAAGTACAATAACATGGTTTTTTAGAAGTATGACTTTTCTCAAAGTTAGTAGAGGAAATTAGTGAATACCTTCTCTTGTGCATGAACCCTTACATCTTTCCAAGTACAGTGGGTGAAACAAAAACCCAAAACTCTCCCATACCATTCTTTTCTCTCATGTGTTTTCTTCCTTTTTTTTTTTTTTTGAGAAATTACCAAGTCTTGTAAAATTGTTTACACATGTAGTTTCTTTCTAGTGTATTTCTCACATTATCAAAAGGATGAATGAGAACTGAAGAGTTTCCCTCATTTCCTGCATACAAGAAGGCTTCAAAAAGTTTAGGGATAAATGGAATTAAAGATAATAGAGTTTTTCTAGGAACATTTTAGTCTCCCTCAGACATAAAGTCTGTCTCTACAGTGAGTTGGTACGTGTTTGCTGAGGAATGGGTAAGACTAAAGGCTTCCCTGCATTCCCTACATTCCTAAAGCTTTCCTCTACTGCTCCCTGTTCCTAACTGGTTAGTGAGGTAGGAGGACTAAGGGTCTCTGATATTTCTTATATTCATAAGGCCTCTCTACACTGTGAACTCTTACATGATTAGTGACAGATAAAGGCCAATTAAAGGCCTTCCCAAATTCCTTACTATCATACAGTGTATCTCCATGAGTTCTAACATGTTTGCAGAGGTCTGAAGAAGAAATAAATAATTTCCCACACTCTTGACATTCATAGTTCCTCTGTCCATTATGAGTTCTAGTATGTCTTTTTATGGACGAGAAATCACTAAAGGCTTTCCCACATTCCTTACATTCATAAGGCCTCTCTCCAGTGTGAATTCTTAAATGTGTTGAGAAAGCAGAGGAACGGCTAAAGGTTTTCCCACATTCCTTACATTTATAAGGCCTCTCTCCAGTGTGAATTCTTACATGTGTAGAGAGGGCTGAAGAACGACTAAAGGTTTTCCCACACTCTTTACATTCGTAAGGCCTCTCTCCACTGTGCATTCTTCTATGGCTAGTGAGGTGTGAGGATTGACTGAAGGCTTTTCCACACTCCGGACATTCAAAAGGCCTGTCTCCCCAGTGAGTTCTTCTATGACTAGTGAGATGTGAGGACTGACGGAAGGCTTTCCCACATTCCTGACATTCATAAGGCTTCTCTCCACTGTGAGCTCTTTCATGTCTAGTGAGTTGTGAAAACTGACTGAAGGCTTTCCCACATTCCTTACATTCATGAGGCTTCTCTGTACTGTGAGCTCTTTCGTGTCTACTAAGATCTGAAACATGACTAAAGGCTTTCCCACATTCCTTACATTCATAGGGCCTCTCTCCACTGTGATTTCTTAGATGCTTACTGAGGGAAGAGGAAGAACTAAAGGCTTTCCCACATTCTGTACAATGATAAGGCTTCTCTCCACTGTGAGTTCGTAGGTGTGCAGTGAGGAATGAGGACCGACTGAAGGCTTTCCCACACTCCTTACATTCGTACGGCCGCACTCCACTGTGAGTTCTTATATGTCTGTACAGGTTTGAAAGATAACTAAAGGTTTTCCCACACTCCTTACATTCATAAGGCCTCTCTACAGTCAGAGTTCTCGTATGCTTGGGGAGGGGTAAGGAACAATTGCAAGGTTTCCAATCATTCTTGCATTTACAAAGTTTCTCTCTCACACAAGGCTTTAGGTCAGAGGGATGGCTGCAGTCATCTCCACATTCCTTACGAAGATAAGGTTTGTATCCAGTGTGAGATCCAACGTGAGGCTTAAACGATGAATGATCCGAGAGAGCGTTTCTACTCCCAAGGCACTCAGGATTTCGTCCAACAGGAGTTCTTGCCAGGTTAGTAAGATTTCCAATCCAGCTGAACACCTTCACACACTGGCTTTCTTCTTTCCTTTTCTTTTCTGTACCTTCTTGATGTTCACAGAAGTTCTCTACTGTACACATGCTGTTAAGAAGAGGCTGCGTGTTAGAATTAAATCTGTTACCATTTCACAATTACTCTATAGCGTGAATGTTTGTTTTATGCCATGTGCTGCTGTCTTACGTTGTCTCGTCTCACAGAGGGTTTTACCATTACTGTCATCATTTGTAAATAATGGCATTTTCTGACAGTAACATACAAGTGAAATACTTTTTGAATACTCAATAATCTGAACATGCAATTTTACAGCTAGCTCTACACACAAGCACACAACGTAAGATTCTCCTGAAGAAACGCTCACAGACACACACTACTCACCTCACACACTTTTCCTGGGTTTTGTGCTGATAGTCAAAACCATACAGGGCGGAGACTTCGCCTCTCGTGGGGCACCAGGAGCCCTCCTTCATGGACAGCTTGCATCTGTTATGATCCTGTTCAAAAACTGTTTCAATCATATTAATTGGAATTAGACGGTATGAAAAGTAACATGGAAATTTTATGACAAAGCATGTGTGAAGGCAGGCTTTGAGGGATCTGGCCATCACAGGACTCTGACAATAGTAAAAAAAGAGCGCGAAATTCACAATCATATGTTGCTGCCATTCACAATATGTTCTGTAAAACATGGCCTTATTCAGAGACAATGAAGTACAGAGATGGAAGAGTCTGTGCTTAGAGCTATCGCCTCTGCTTCTTATTCCACGTGTGGTCTTTAAAAACATGAGGGGGGCATAATGAACAAAAGGAGAGCTGCTTCCTTTTTAAAAAAAAAACAAGACAAAACCCCACAAATTTCTTATAAGACCACAAATGTATATGTATCAGATGTTGTTGGAAAACATGTTAAATGACACATCTCTGAACAAAGAAATAATTCCATCATAGTTGAGCATGATGGTGACCTAAGTAAGGTATAGCTAGGAAAACAAAGTAAAAATATGCTGCAATAAATTCATGTATGTAAATATTATATAAAGAGAAAAAGGGGAGGTCTTTTATCACAAGTACAAAAGGCAGGAAAGGACTAGTAAAAAGTCTAAAAATTCACCTAAGGTACATGTGTACATTCTGTCTCTCAGACAAAAAGAGATGATTTCAAGTTGATTTTTTAAAATGAAACTGCATCCCAGCAGGGCTGATCTTTCAAAGGATTTTTGTCGTCAGGGTGTTCCCTGACACTACAGCACTGGAAACAGCTGTATGTTCATTCTAAGATCTTTCTCTTACTTCTCAGGGAGAAAAACTAATGTGGTCTATGTGGTGCTTATTCGAGCCACAAAGTCGGCAGTTCAAGCTCACCAGGTGCTCCTCAGAAACCCTATACAGGGTCACTATGGGTCAGAACTGACTTGATGGCACTTAACAACAACCACATATGGTGCTTATAGAGAAAGACAGATCATAAGGGAAGAAAATCAGAAAGCTTATTTCCCAGACACTGTGACAATCTATGATCTCTATAAATGGACACTGTATAAGTTTATCTGTAGCGAAATCATTGCGTCAAATTTGTAGTAAAGATGATAAAATGCTAACAGGTAAAAAACCAATATGACTCCTAAAGTAAATGATCACCCTGGAACACATAAAGAGCTAAAGGGCTTTTAATCCCAAGGGAAATGAAGAGCAATCTTAACAGATAGATTTTACTTTCGTGGGAAAGCCACTAGAGTCTAAGTCCATGAAAGCAGTGAAAACACCTGTCACATTTGCCAATATTTAATTCCTCAACCAAATCCTGTAAGGTGAATGAGTACAATTTCACAGGAAAAGTAAATAAGGAAAATAATCTTACCTGAGCCTATGTTTCTGAAGGTTTCTATCATCACATCTCTGTAGAGCTTCCTCTGAGAAAAATCCAGCAATGCCCACTCTTCATGGGTGAACTCCACGGCCACATCCTCAAAGACCACTGAGGCCTAAAACATCGCACATATTCGGTATCAACAAGGAACCATCTTCCCCAGTGTGTGTAAAAGGACGGATGAGAAGTCAGTCCTGGGAATGAGACCTCACAGGGAGGCCACACAAGGTTCTGTGTTCCACTCCACACTTTACCAATCAGCCTTGTCCCTGTGATGCTGACTGTCTACACTTACCTCTGAACTGTTGGAATTCTAGCTCATAAACTGAACAGTATTTCTAACACAGAGTACCAATACCATTACAGTTTGACTATAACCAAGCCTGATTTTATTCCTCTGTGTATTTATGTTCAGAAAAGTCAGAACACGTAGGAGAAAGGAAAGAACCTTCTATGAATAAAAGACATATTTACATATTTCTATGTGGGGAAAAAAATAATTTAACTTCCTGTAAGATCCACCAGAACACACAACAAGACATGAAGCAGAGGTGAAAAAAGAACCTTATTAATAATTGGCAAATACCAAGTAACTGACAGCTTTTCTGCAAACTGAATAAACAAAGCAAACATCACAATGAAATTCATATATGGTAGAGAGTTTGAATTACCAGACCAGGAAATTAAAACAATTATGATTTATATGAAAAGACTTTTCCAATGGTAAAAACAGACCACATGCAAGAACAGATAATTGAGTAGAGAAATGGACACTCTTGAAGAAACAACTCGTCTGTCAGTTTGTCGTACTGTGGTGGCTTGTTCGTTTTTGTGATTCTGGAAGCTATACCACGAGCATTTGACATACCAGCAGGGTCACCTATGGTGAACAGGTTTCAGCTGAGCTTCCTGATGAAGACTAGGAAGAAGGAGAGATGAACTACTTCCGAATAGTTAGTCACTGAAAACCTTATGAAAAACAGTGGAACACTGTCAGCATCAGAAAACTGAATACTAAAACATGATGAAGAGCAGCAGACCACTGTCAGATACAGTGCTGGAAGATGAGCCCCTCAGGTTGGAAGGCACTCAAAATATGACTGGAGAAGAGCTGCCTCATTGAAGCTGAGTTGACTGTGATGATGCGAATGGGGTAAAGCTGGCTGGGCCTTCATTTGCTGATGGGGCACAACTCAAAACAAAAAGAAACAGCAGTAAATCCATTCACAATCCACTAATAATCGGAACATGTATGAAGCCTGATTCTAGAAAAAATCAGAAATTGTGAAAATGAAATGGAATGCATAAACATCGATATCCTAGGCATTAATGAACTGAAAATGGACCGACGGGTATTGGCCATTTTGAATCTGACAACCACATGGTTTACAATGCCAGAAATGACCAAGTGAAGAGGAATGGTGTCGCATTCATTATCAAAAAGAACATATAACATATCGAGATCATTCTTGAAGTACAACACGGTCTGTGATAGGATAATATCCATATGCCGAAAAGGAAGACCGAGTTAGTACCACTATTATTCAAATTTATGCACTAACCACTAAAGTCAGTGAAGATGAAGAATTCTAGCAACTTCTTCAGATGACAATTGATCCAACATGCAATCAAGTTATACTGATAATTACTGGCAATTAGAATGCAGAGGTTGGAAACAAAGAGCAAGGATCAGTAGTTGGAAATTTTGTCCTTGGTGATACAAACAATGCTGGAGAATTGCATGCTAGAATTTTCAAGACCAACGCCCTCGTCATTGCAAATGCCTTTTTTATACAACTAAAAGACGACTATACACATGGACCTCACCAGATGGAATACACAGAAATCAAATTAACTTCCTCTGTGGAAAGAGATACTGGAAAAGCTCCATGTCATCAGCCAAAGCTAGGCCAGGGGCAGACTGTGGAATGGACTATCAATTGCTTATATGCAAGTTCACGCTGAAGCTGAAGAAAATTAAACTAAGTCCACAAAAGCCCAAATATGACCTTGAACTTATCCCACCTGAATTTAGAGATTATCTTGATAGCAGATTTGATGAATTACTGTAGACCTGAAGAGTTGTGTGATGACATCAAGACCATCATACAGGAAGAAAGCAAAAGGTTATTAAGAAGACACAAAAAGAAGGTAAAGACCAAAATGGATATCAGATGAGACTTTGAAACTTGCTCTCCAGGGTAGAGACGCTAAAGCAAACGGAAGAAATGAGGAGGTAAAAGAGCTGCACAGAAACTTTCAAATGGCAGCTCAAGAAGACAAAGTCAAATATTATAATGAAATGTGCAGAGACCTGGAGTTAGAAAGCCAAAAGAGAAAGAACACGTTCAGCATTTCTCACACTGAGGGAACTGAAGAGAAAATTCAAGCCTCAACTTGAAATATTACAGGAGTCTCTGGGCAAAATATTGGATAATACAGAAAGCATCAAAAGAAGATGGAAGGAATCCACAGGGTCACTGTACCAAAAAGAAATGGTCAATGTTCAAGCATTTCAAGAGGTAGCATATGGTCAATAGCTAATGGTACTGAAGATGCACTGAAGGCACTGGCAAAGAACAAGGCACCAGAATTGATGGGAAACAATGCAGTGCTGGAGGCACTCACTCATCTCTACCAAGAAATCTGGAAGACAAAGACGTGGTCAACTGATTGGAAGAGATCCATATCTGTGCCCATTCCAAATAGAAGAGGTCCAATGGACTATGGAAATCATCAAAAGCATATGAGGCTATTGCAAATACCATGGCTTGGGTCAGGCGCATCTTAGTTCTCAAGCTGGTATCTTGCTCTTGAACACTTCAGAGGGATCTTGTGCATCATGCTTCTTGCACACTTCAAAGTCCCAAACAAAACTGTTCTCTATTGGAAAAAAGTAAATGGTTTTGGAGCCCCCACAAATGATCAGCCGACATCACTCTCCTGCCTCGTCCTTGTGGTGAGGTCATGGGAGTGCCAAGCTGCATGCAGGACCCCCTGCAGAGTCAGGGTTCTCCCCTACTAACTGGCTCCCCTTCTCTGTCCCATCCACAGTGTGACAGCTGGAACTGGAGTGTTAGAACTGCACAGAAAGGCTCTGGTTGCTGGGAGAAGCCCAGAAAATGATTAAGGAAAATGGGGAAAGGCTGGTTCTGAGGCCTGGGGCTCACCTCCCCAGTCAGAGCGGCTCCTTCTTCAGCTTCTGCCAGGAGACTCTCCGTCACACAGAGCACCAAGGCTCAGGGTGGGGACACTACTGCTTCGTGGTGCCAGCTCTGAGAGTCACACATGGGAGGTCACACCAGGCACCCAAGGCTTGAACAGAGGAAGGGCCCAGTAAAGAGTGGTGGTGGTTATGTGCCATGGAGTCGCTTCCGACTCATAGCAGCCCCCTATAGGGTTTCTGAGGCTGTACATCTTTACGGGAGCAGAAAGCCTCATCTTTCTCCTGCAGAACAGCTGGTAGTTTTGAACTGCTGACCTTGAGCTTAGCAGGCCAACTTGTAAGCACTACACTACCAGAGCTCCTTCCAGTAAAGAGTCGGAACTCAGGAATTTGGATGCCTCTTAGGATGCAGTCCTCCCCTGCCACTTCATGAAAGAGCATATAGCTGTTCCCCCACCAAATCAGACTGGGCTACACCCCCTTATCCTAAGAATTACCCAGTTCTCTGTGGTACTCACCATTTCCTGGCTACAGCTTCTGGAAGTGAGCTGAATTTCCTCTCTGAGCCCAGAAGCCATTTCAGTACGAGTGATGGGCGTGGAAGCAGACCCACTGGGCATTCTGAAGGCAGAGGACCATGTCTGGGGCACACAGGGCAAATCCTGACGTGGGATTGCATGGATGTACCAGACTGTCGCCCTGGGTTCAGTTCAATTCTCCCTGTGCCATACCTGTTACAGAAGAGGGGGTGGAGGAGAGAACATTGAACATAAAGGTGTTCTTGGCCATCAGCGCTTTCTCTGGGCAGGAGTTTCTGTCAGGAGCAAGGCAATGTTCCACCCCGAGAAGATCTATACTTCAAGTACAACACACCAGCCTTCAAGAACAAACACTTGCATTCTTCCTGCAGCTCCCCAGGCCTCTGCCTTCTGGCAACAAGTTCACAGCTGGAAGAATTTACTCCTTCCAGAGCAGAAGCATCTAAAGCATGGCAAGAAAACATGAACCCAATTTCCTCCAGGAGTTAGGGGCCTAAGGCTGACGTTGGCTGTCCACCTATGTAAGTTTGCTCCTATGAAGATCTACACATGTACTTATTTCACATCAACATGTCTTTTCAGGGATAATAAAGTTATCCTATTTGGTCTATGCACTCTTCACGCTTCATTGACTTAATTATGTGCAGCTAAATATCTTCGGTTGAGGTTTTTAAAAAAGTGTCATTTCATAAAGACCGCCAGGGTTGTATTCTTTCACCATTCTTATTCAACCTGTTTGCTAAACAAATAATCCGAGAAACTGGATTATACGAAGAAAACCATAGTATCAGGATTGGAGGAAGAAGGCTCAATAACAACCACATCATCTTCCGGGTCTACACCACCTTACAGTCTACCTTAACTTGTTCCAAACAAACTCCCGATCCACATCATTCAATCACGGTTGTCATTTCCAAATCGATCTGCAGCACACAAACCGGACAGCTCTGATTACATTAAAAATCGGCTCACGTCCATCCCTGGTTCATGCTGGTTCAGTGACTTTCCGCTGGCTTTGGGAAAAGCCCCAAGCAGCCAGCCTGGTTCCAAAGGACCTGCTGCCGCTGCCTCCTCCAGTCTGGCCCATAACAGACCCTCCCATCCCCACAACCGCCCTTTGTTCGCTCTGCTTCAATCCTCCCTGGCCCTCCCCAAGGAAAGGATGACACGGAGACTCTTCTACCTCAGGGATTTACACATTAGTCTAACTGGATCCTCAGGTCCTTTTATTACAGGAATTAGAATACTCCGGTTTTTCATTAGGTATTTAAAATTGTCTCCCATGCTAGAGTGTAAATCTATGAGTGGAAATTCCATGTTTTTTTGTTTGTTTGTTTTTGGCTTATGACACTGACAATTCAGGTCATCCACAGAATAAATGGAGTCCTGGTGTGGTGCTGTGGTTAATGT